AATTCAAAGTTTTAACTAGCATTGCTGTACATCTTTTATCTGGTCATTTTGTGGAATATTTAACAACTAGAAAATGGCACAAAATAAGAATATTTTTTCCACTCTGATTGGCTGCTGTTAGGCCTACCAGTTTTAACTTGAATGTTCATTGCATTCTTCGTAGACGCCTGTGAAAATAATTTCTATTCCCATGGCTTTTTTGTTCTCTGGGAAATTATTTCGATGATAAATACAGAAACAAGCATAAAAGTCAAAACATCTACAATAGTGATAGTAATATCACTATTACTATCAGACCATGAGACCATGCACTGACTTTGCATGGTCAGTGCAAAGTAGCCTGCAAATTCTTTGGTGGGGGGCGGTGAGGGACCTAGATAAAGGCTAGGGGGGCACTGGCCCAAAAAAAGGTTGAGAAACACTGTGATAGATTAATATAAAGTATTATCCAATTCATAAAGTGGAAGATTTTCTAAATAGCTGCAAAAACCCTGAAAGGTGTTCTGTGTATCTGAACCCTCAGCAAAGGGATTCTTAGAATTTCCAAGGATTTGCTCCCTTTGCTGAGGAATTCAGCAAAGGGAGCTGAATCCCTCCCTTTCTCTCCCTCGCCATATATGGCGAGGCTAAATGGCCTCTCCATATAGCCTAGGAGAGGCTATATGGCTCTCCTATTTAGGAGAGCCATATAGCCTTTATATATGGCTCTCCTATATAGACTATATAGGAGCCTCTCCTATATCGGAGAGCTATATGGCTCTCTGATATAGGAGAGCTATATGGCTCTCTGATATAGGAGAGCCATATAGCCTCTCCTTTAAACCTGTCATTCACAGGTTGTCATTCACAATGACAGGTTAACCCAGGGGTGTCAAACTCCAGTCCTCAAGGGCCGCTGTCCTGCAGTGTTTAGATGTGCCACAGGTAAAAAACAGTGGAATGAAATGGCTTAATTACCTCCTCCCTGTGTAGATCGGTTCTCCTGAGCCTTGCTAATGACCTAATTATTATTTTCAGGTGTGGTGCAGCAGCACGAGAGGACCCAAATTTGGGTCCTCTCGTGAATGACAGGTTAAGACTTCTATGGAAGAGGCTATAAAAATTATGATTTAAAAAAAATTGACATCAAACATCCAATTTGCTTTTTGCAAAACGCCAAGTAGGAGACAGAAAACATGTGGAAGAAGCTGTCTTGGTGATTGGCAGGGTTTTCTAACGTCTGTAACACTTCTGGCTCTCCCACCTGTGGCCATGATAAGTCCTGGAGCCGAATCTTTGGATAGAATGGACATCCTCCTCAACTGGATGTTAAACAGCTGGCTCCAGCGCTGGGCCAAGTGCAGAGAGCAACCTTTACTGAGCTGGGGGAGGAGAAATGAAGGGAAGTCAGACAAATGAGGAAAACAGGAGGACTCCACGCAGAAAGTAGGAGTTTTTCTATATTCTTTTCGGAGAATATGGAAGAACAACTGCAATAATATCAAAACACAGGCTGATGCACTATTTTCAAATTATTCCGCTTGCTTTTTTTTTTTTTAGCTTTAAAGGGTAAATATACAAAATCCTTTTTTTTTTTAATGAATTTTTTTTGGCATACTTTGAGTGCTTATGAGTGAACTAAATGTAAATTTATTTTCTCTCGGTGCTGTGTAGATATATTTATATTCTTTCCAGGTTATATTCTTCAGTGTGTTAATTTTTCTCTATTCACTATAACGTTTTTCTTTTCTATGACATCACCAAATTTGCTATTGAACTGCTAGATAAGGTTATTACTTCAGTTTTGTGAATTTGCCATTTTTTTCCTTGCAGTGATTTTGTAGTCCAAGTTCAGTTGTTCCGAATTTGGAAGTAATTAAGTCAAAATGTTCGTTGTTGCATGTATTAATACACACAATTCCTTACATTGCCTCCAGCCTCTTTGAGGTGTCTGGATAAATTAGACTTTTCTTGGAAATGTATGCAGCTCAGCAGGAAAAGTCAGTTTGCATGTAGCTCTTAAGGGCAAGCGCTTCAGCAACCTCTGGCAGTATCAAGAGGGATTTTCCCAAAAACTTAATATGATTGAGGGTCAGTTCCTTCTCTTTTCTTAAATAAGGTACACAGCAAAGTGGTAAGCTGCTAAAAACACTAAAATGACAGCAAAGCTTATTTTAGACCCATTTTTTGTGTTGATAATGATGTTGTGGCCATTGATTTGATAGTAGCCTGTTGCTTTCTGCTAATATTGCATTGTGGGCTAGCTTTTAGCTACCTCTTTGAGGATATAATTGTACTGCATGTTTTGGATATAATTATTTGGCTTTGTTTTTGCCAATTTTGTCTTGGGAAACACATAATCCAAATGCATTCAGTGACATTCTTGACGCTCCAGTTAGCTTACTCCTTAATTAATTAAGATGTATGTTAACGGCAGCAACTCTAGTCGCTCCTCAGCACTATTAACTTTATTTGTCTTAATTTATTTACCTCAAGAGTCAGCTGTCTTGTTTGTTCAAGAGAAAGTTGTTGGCCCTTAGGAAGAGCCCGAATGGACGGAAGTAAGCCATCCCAGTGGAACCAAGGAGGAGGTATCAAGGCTGCAAGGCTGGAGCTAAGCTTAAGGCTAGGCTCGCCGAGAACCGGAGGCGTTTTAAACCATCACTTCCCTCCATGATCATGGGGAATGTCAACTCACTACACAATAAGATGGATGAGATGTCCGCGTTGGAGAATCAGCGGACTTATCGTGAGTGCAGCCTGTTCATCCTGACGGAGACATGGCTAACTGACAGCATACTGGATACTACCATTACTCTGCGCGGATTTATAACGGTCAGAGCTGATAGAGATCCGAAGGCATGTGGAAAAAGCAGAGGTGGCGGTTTGATCATCTACGTTAACCCTGGTTGGTGTAACCCTGGCCATGTCACAGTCAAGGCAGAGCTGTGCTGCCCTGATCTGGAGCTGTTGGCTGTCAGCCTGCGTCCTTACTACCTCCCCCAGGAATTCAGTCACTTGATCTCCATCTGTGTTTACATCCCACAGCTGCTGTCTGTCAAAAGATACAAAGTATCACAGCACAACTTCAGTTGCAATATCCTGAAGCACTCATAATAATATCTGGAGATTTTAATCATGTCACCCTGGATTCCACTCTGACTGCCTTTCACCAGATTGTCAATTGTCCCACCAGGAAAAACAGGATAATTGATTTACTGTACACCAATGTAAAAGATGTATATGAGGCTGTTGCTCTTCCCCCATTAGGCAAGTCAGACATACAAAGTACATACAGCCCCAGTACATCCCCCTGGTCCAAAGGCAGGGTGTCTCCACTCACTCCATCAGAAGATGGACTCCTGAAGCAGAGGAGGCCCTGAGAGACTGTTTCAACATCACAAACTGGGATATGCTGCTGGGAGCTCATGGTGAGGACCTAGAGGGGATGACTTGCATTCTCACAGATTACCTTAATTTTTGTGTAGATGTGGTGGCCCCCTCAAGACTGTTCAAAGTTACCCAAATAATAAACCATGGGTAACACAAGGAGTAAAGGCTGTGCTCAATCAGAAGAAGATGGCCTTTAGGACTAAAGATAAAGAGAAGATAAAGGCAGCACAAAGAGAGGTGAAATGTTGTCTGAGGAAGGCAAAAGACTGCTACAGAAGGTGGAGCAGAAGCTGAGGGAAAACTGCTTAAGTGATGTCTGGGATGGTTTCAGAACCATTACAGGGCACAAAGCTCGAACTACCACAGAGGGAGGAAGTAAAGAGAAAGCCAATGAACAGAATAACTTTTTCAATAGATTTAGCCATTATGCTTCACCCACCATTACTACATCTACTCTGTCCCAGTGCTTTCCCCCAGTAGATCCTCTTCCTTGTCATCAGGTACAGTCATTCTACCATCATGGCATCCTCATCTCACCTTTATCCCATACCAGCCCCCTGACCCAACCTCCTCCTCCAAGGCAGCCTAGTAGCCCCTCTACTTTCTTTCCCTCCACACTGCCTCCTCCACACTTTACAGCTGATCAAGTGAGGGCAGAACTGAGGAAGCTTCAATCCCGAAAAGCTGCAGGACCCGACAGAATATCCCCTCGGATTCTCAAGATCTGTGCTACTGAGCTAGGGGAACCATTACAACGAATCTTCAACCTTAGTCTGCAACTTGGGAGCGTGCCCACACCCTGGAAGACATCCTGCATCATTCCTGACCCTAAGAAGAGCAGGCCCAGTGAGCTGAATGACTTCAGACTGGTAGCACTGACATCACATCTGATGAAGACTCTGGAGAGGCTCTTCCTCAACCACCTCAGAATGCAGGTACAGGATGCTGAAGAACCCCTGCAGTTTGCCTACTGGGCAAAGGTTGGAGTGGAGGATGCCATCATCCACTTTCTACATCGAGCCCACTCGCACCTGAACAAGGGAAGTAGAAGGATCCCCTTCCTGGATTTTTCAAGTGCGTTTAACACAATCCAGCCCCCTGCACTTCTGGAAAAACTCACCAGAATGAAAGTGGACTCCTGCCTAGTCACCTGGATTTGCAGCTACCTTACCGACAGACCACAGTTCGTCAGGATGAATCACATCACGTCTGACACTGTGGTCAGCAACACTGGAGCCCAGCAGGGGACGGTGCTGTCACCCATCCTCTTCACCCTGTACACCTCAGACTTCTGCAATAACTCTGAAACATGTCGTATTCAGAAGTACGCTGATGATACTGCCATCATGGGGTGCATTAAGGACAGTGAAGAGGAGTACAGGAGCCTGGTGAGAGACTTTGTTGTCTGGTGCCATAGAAACAACCTGCAGCTAAATACTTCCAAGACAAAGGAACTGGTCATTGACTTCAGGAGGGAAAGAGGCAGTCCACGACCAGTTCTGATAGGAGGGGAGAGGTGGAGGTCGTGCAGACCTATCAATATCTTGGCCTGTGGCTGGACAAAAAGCTGGACTGGACAAGCAACACCAAGCAGCTTTATAAGAAGGTTCAGACCAGGATGTACTACCTGAGGAGGCTGAGATCCTTTAACATGTGGAAAGCTGCTGAGGTTGTTTTACCAGTCTGTTGTCACCAGCGTCCTCTTATATGCTGTGGTGTGCTGGGGTGGAAGCATCTCGGAGACGGACTTTTCTAAGCTGAAGAAGCAAATCAGGAGGGCTGGGTCAGTGGTTGGCACAAGGCTTGACTCTCTGGCAGCAGTGGCAGAGAGGAGAACCCTATAGAAACTCGAGGATATTATGGACACCAGCCACCCTCTGCACACTGTCATCGTCATCAGCAGCCAGGAAAGCAGGTTCAGTGGGAGGCTGCTTCTTCCAAAGTGCAGGACCAACAGACTAAGGAACTCCTTTGTGCCTCATGCAATAAAACTTTTCAACCCCTCACTGGCTAACAGGAGTACAATAGAAATAGAGGAACTGTAGAATCAAGCTAAATGCTAATGTTAAAAAAAAAAACAGTTAAAAGTTACTGACTTTTTGGTGCTGTGTGGGAGACTGAACTACAACTTCCCTGAGGGTAAATCCCAAAGGGATGAATAAAGTATCTATCTATCTATCTATCTATCTATCTATCTATCTATCTATCTATCTATCTATCTATCTATCTATCTATCTATCTATGTATGTCAAGGTTTTGTTTACTTCATTCAAATTGGGTTGGCATCAATATTTATTATATTTATCTGGCATGTCTAAACACTACAGTAAAATTGTTCTGCATATTGTGGGTAACTACCCACAATATGCAGATGATGGATGGTGAGTACAGTAATAACACCATTGTAATGCATTCATTTGAATATGTGGCTCTTTAGGCTCATTGTCTTCATTCTCCTGCTGTGGGTCAAACTATGGCTCGAACATGTAAGGTTGGATGAACAAGTCTTCTGTTGATGACATTTTAATAAACTTAGGATAAAGAAGTAGATAATTGTATCGCTGCTATCAAACTGCAAAAATGGTGGGACAGGGTGGAGTGGAATGCTCTGCCCCTCTGGAGGGGGGCAGACCGCAAAATGTTTCATTCACATAAAAAAAGAAAAATGCAAAACAAGTTGTTCTAAAACACCTCAGAACAGGTGTAGAGGAGGGGTTTGTAGACCTACAATAACCAGGAAGCATTGCAGTCCTATTTTATATAGACCATAACTGAATGATTTACATGTGAAAGGAAGGATTTAAAAGCATGATGTATCCACTTTAAACAGGAAGTATGTATTTTCTAGGCAAATATAATTTTATAGCACAATCATGTAACTATGAATGGTTGTTATGAAAATTTTGTATATACCAAATATGACCTAAAAATTTGACTTTTTAATATAATACCTTGAAATTGGGTCTTCTTGCTCTTTCTCAAAGTCCACCTTCAAGAAGTCTTCACAACACAGCTCCTCTATTGACGTTTTTACCAGCGTTGCTATGAGAAGTAGGTCCTACAAGGACCTCAGCAGATGTACAATTCTACCAGGTGTTTGCTAATTGCTGCTGGCTAGTCTGAAGGAGCTGAGTGCGTTTTGCACAGCTGAAAGGTTGCCATGGAGATTAAAGGGTTTCTCAAACACAGGTATGTTTTTGATGAGCCAACAACATTGTGACATGATGTAAAAATTTAAAAAGTCAATTTTACCTAATACTGCCACTTTAAATAATTAGGAAACTGTTCTTAATAATAATAAAAATAATAATATGGAGTTTTCTTTTCTTTTCTCAAGAGACAAAAAAACGTCCCATTTGAAAGCACCAGGTGGTTTGGATCCTGCCGTACCTGACAGTCCACCGTTCCCCCCAGGCTGTCGGTGGCAGGCGCTTGCAGCAGTTCCCATGTCCCCCCCTTGTCAAATGTGATGACCGAGCGCATGTTTTCCTCGCTGACCAAGCCATTGACGAGCGTGGCGATGAAAACGCCCCGGAGTCCCTCCACCCGATGCACGTCTGCAAACGGTTCGTTGGCAAAGTACCTGAAAGCCAGTGGAGCAACAGGAAGCTACCTTTAAGGAATGGTCAATCAGAGGCATTGTTAAATTAAACATGCATAAATTCAGCTGCCAAATATTTGAAATAGCCGGCTCCAACAAAACAGCACAAACACAGCACTGATCTGATTAGCAGAGGACAGGCTGTCAGAGACAGTAAATGAATCATCAGGAAGGATCACACCTGAATCAACGCTGGCTATTCCTCCCAATGAATTTGAGAAAAGATAACAAATCATCAATAAATGGGAGCAAGTAGCTCCCATTTACAGTTTTAGAGTTTCTATTGGATAAGGAAGCACATGCTGTCCATGTTTGGACGGCCTTTGATTTGTCCAAGCATCTGCTTGCAGAGCTGGAGGCTGTCCTCTGAGTCCCAGAGGTTACTATGGTAACAACCTTACTACTGGTTCGATACTACAGCAAGGTCACAATGGGTTCTGTTTATTGTTACATGATGCTAAATGAAATACTAGCAGTGTATGTGTTTCACTGTCGTATAAAGACACAAACAGGATTTAATCACGTTTTTGTCATGATCCGTGTTTCTGTGTGTTTTGAGTTTTTTCTGTGTGGTCCTGTTCCCTGTGAGTCTCTGTCTCTGCGTCTTCTCTGTTGATTGTTTCTCAGGTGTGTCTCGTTCCTTTGATTACCCCTGTGTGTATTTAAACCCACCTGTTGTCTGTGTTCTTTGTCGGGTCCTTGTCAAACGTTTGTCTTACGTACGTGTCTAGTCAGTCTTTGTGTTAGTCGTCACAGTAGAACTGTTAAGTCCTGTGATGGCGAAAGCTCATATGTGTCAGTCGTTGTCAATTCAGTCGCAACCGGTGTTGAGCCTCGGTGTTCCTGCTTATCTGTGCTGCCTGAGATTTGGACTGTACTGAGCTACACCTTTCATTAAATACCACCATTTTCATCATAACCTGGGTCCCTGTGTCTCTCCTCACCACCACCATACCACCTCATGACAGTTTTACCCTCTTTGTTGCACCATAAACAATATGGAATCAAACATCTAACAGTAGAAAGACAACCTATATCCCACTGATCAACAGCTGCACAAATGGAATGACAATTTTTTTTTCCCTCGGGCTTTTTTCTGCAACTGTAGCTACATGAATTTAAAGGTTTTTTTATGTCATGAGAAAAATGGCACACAACATGAAAATAGGTTTTCTGGAAAATGAAATTTGAGCTTTCCAGTACCCAGTTGAGACAAACACTACCCCACAAAGTATTCATACCCCTTAAGATTCTCATGTGACAAATTAGGAAATAGAACTTGACTCTGAAGTAGTAGAAAAAATTGTTTTCTTTCATGGTTTTATATTTATTTATAAAAAAAAATAAAAAAAATGTAATCCAAAACTAAATGTGGAACACATTTTTATTGAGCGGTCTTTATTCCAATACTTTTAAACGGTGTACATACCCACTAATCTGCTAATGCATCAATAGCAGAGCAATTTTTTTATTTAGCACTTTGGAAAGAATTAGTGCACTTAGTTTCAACTAAATTCATTTTTTTCAGATAAATTCTACAGCACTAATTTACTTGGTTTTTTGTAGTAAACTGAAAGTGACAGTCTACATTGAAAAGATGCAGTGTTTGTGAAAACATGTTGGACTCTTGTACATTACCAAAATTGTCTGAATCTTTTGTTTTGACATGTTGAGAGAAGTACTTCTCCTTTAACCTCAAAAATATATATTTTTAAAAAAGGTCACATTTGCAGTAGCTGATATTAACTTCTAACCATGGCACACAGACCCATAGCGAAGCAGAATCCACAGAGTTTGAATTAATAAAGATATAAATGTGCGTCAGATCCGCAGCATTTAACCTTTCAGTGGTTGTGGCTTGATGGTCGTTCAGCAGGCTCCTCTTCTGCTGCTTGGTCAAAGATGTACGGTGTACCACTGTGCGATTGGAACCATTTTCACGTATCTGAGCTAATGCAAACACTGAGTTGGGAGGGCGTGGCTAGCTGTAGCTCTTTTGCATAATCCTATCGTTGCGCTAATATAGCACATTTCTACATGAACTCAAAACAGGCAGAACTGATCTGGTGAATTCTCAATATCTGAGAATAATATTGTGTATTAAAAGTAATGAATATGTTTTGTATAGGCCACTGACCTACTCCAGCTTGAATCTATCCAGGCATTATAGTGGATTTTAAATGCTAAAAATATTTCAGTCATCATCAAGCAATCCTATTTAGTTGAAAATAGGATTGTAAAATTCTGAAAGTCTTTAATTAAATCAGGCAAATCTTACTTAAACAATTTTATGTGTTATTGACAGATGACTAAATCTGAGTGAGCGTGTGCGTGTTCGTGTGTGTGTGTTTGCAGTACCGGATAAGTGTATTGCTGCCTGAGCCCCCAGGACTGTAGTAGAGCACATTCTCAAGTGACAGAGAGAAGGACAGGCCTTGTGTGTCTGAGATGTACAGGTGTGTGGCATTGTTTGTGTGGTTCACACAAACAAACACCTGGTCCTCTGATGCATCCGCAATGTAGTACTCCTGTTGGATGGGCGAGGGAAGCAGCAGGTCACTTAGAGTTCAGACCATAGATCATGTCTCTCACACACACACACACACACACACACACACACACACACACACACACGTGCGCACACACACATACCTGCAACAATTGTCCCAGAGTTGGATCTCTGTCTGATTTTTTTAGAAACTGGAACGACCCTGTTCATTTTAAAACTCACTGTGATTGGATGCCGGGTCATGAACTGGGCAGCTTTCATCGGCTGGCGGTTGTAGGAGACCCACAGCTGAACAGATGATGGGTTATGGCTGCCTCGAAATCTCTGGGAAGGTCATGGAGATAGAGAAAGAGACGGAGACATTCATTGAACTCCTACTCCATACAGGGTCCACATCATATCAGTAACTTTTAACAAAATCACCCAACACAAATTCAAAAATCTTCCTTTCACTGAAAAAAAGAGAGCACAACTTTTAAACTCAAGTTACCTACTGATATTTTAGAAACTGCATTTCGTCTATTAAAACCTGATATATAGTAGTGGCATGGCAAAAGAAACATAAGAACCATAACTAATTTACTACAATTCAGATTCATTTAAAAAAAAAAAAAGCAGATTGATAAAATAAGACAAATCTGCTGGATTTTGGCCTCCATTTTGAAACCACCAAGTATGCTCCAATATGAAAATTTTGGGATGGAATTTTGTTCCGCAATCAGAGAGAGGCGTGTCATTCAATGACGGTCCAGACATATCCTCATGTATGACAGAGTAAATTTCAAGTTGGCAATGAATTAAGTTTTATTCTATTCTTTATTGGCAACAACATCTATATTGTTTAAGGGTGGGCATTTATTGTATTATCGTGATAAATTTCTTATAAGAATTTTGAATCATTATTGCAATGATAAATTCCAGCTAATGACGCCTGTTAAGGTAGTGAGTTTTACTATTTTCTCCACTCTTTGTTCAATGACAGCATCAATGAACACGGTCATGTGACAGTGATAGCGATGCAGCAAAGGTTTGTGGAAATATTAACTGAAACATAGAGGCAATGTCTGTGGCGTAATCGGGGCTTTTTTAATGGTGTTGAAAACATAGGGTATGGAAATACAGGGTTTCCCCAGGAACCTTGCTAAGCCCGGTGGCCGGGCGCCGAGGCAGTCCATCGTGTTTTTATATTAAAAGATGTTAAGTAGACAGGAAAAGTAAAAATATTGATTCCAATGATTAGTTAATTTTAAGCTCCTGCTCTGCTAGTTATTTTGATAATGGAACCGAAATGCACAGAATTGTGCAACACCTTGTTGAAATCACTGAGATTATTATTTTTTGTTGGGTCATTAATTTGAAAACGTTTTGTTGACTTTTTGTTGTTGTTCTTTAATAAAGTTATGAACGATTTGATAAGTAGACAGAGGAGGACGTGCTGGTCTCAGCGTCGAGATCAACTCAAAACCTTCCGCGATCTACGTATTGCACCCCTGCTCTAACAAAGAACAGTTCAGAAACAATATGAAATGGAGGGGGGGAAGCTATTTATTAACTGATTAAGTCGTGTTTTGGATTG